GAACTACATTACCTACAGAACTACATTACCTACATTACCTACAGAACTACATTACCTACAGAACTACATTACCTACAGAACTACTCACCACAGTTGTGTCTTCCCGGTTCCCGGCGCTCCACAGATCTCGGTGGTCTTCCCGACAGGAAGTCCCCCCCCCAGCGTGGCGTCCAGCTGTGAGCAGAAGCTGAAGATGCTGCGCTGCGACTGTTCCTCCTGAAGCAGCTGCAGCGCAGTGAGGGAGGGGGGAGGTCCTACTGAAGCTCCTCCCACTTGACGCTCCTCCTCCTCCCACTTCCCTCCCCCTCGAAGCGCCTCCCCTAACTTGAAGCTCCTCCCCTCACTGCCTGCAGCACCTGCAGCGCCTCCTGCTGGGAGACACCGGCCTCTGCACCACAAACACTGAGTTAGACATTCCATTACATCACATTGCATTTAGCTGACGCTTTTATCCAAAGCGACTTACAATAAGTACATTCGACCAGGAAGATACAACCTTGAAGAAAACCGAATCATATAAGTACATCAGGTTTCATAGAACTAAACATTTCAAGTGCTACTCAACTGGCTTTAGATAAGCCAGCCCTTTATTAGTATATAAGTGCTTTGTTAGTAATTCTATCTCTCGAAGTGGAGTCGAAAGAGATGAGTTTTCAGTCTGCGACTTCAGTAAGGAATACCACCGTTTCTCAAACTCTCCTTTTTATATTAGATTATATTTAATGTATTGAAAATAGGGTTTTTTTCTACTGAATAGCTCGGCCAGATATTTAAATACATTACATGCTTGACTGTGTGAAGTATTCAGAGTATGCACTTTTAAAGTTGATTTGAGGAATCAGCGGACACATTGAACTCGTTGCACATGTACATATTGTGATTATCACCAGATGGACATTAGTATGCATGACTTAAAGTGGGATAGGAAAATGTATGTGGAGTCAAATCGTGGGCAGCCAAAAATAAATCCTGTGTATTTCAGCTCAACATGAAGACATTAATATTTAAAAAGCCTGCGGAGGAATGCAGATCTGAAGGAAGGAGCAGATTGATGAGGCTGCTGATTAATAGCTGTACATTATTAGGATCTAATGAGCAGATCTGGAGTGTTTTGTTATGCCCTCAGAGGGACTAAACCCCCCAAAAAACACACTTCCTCTCCGCTATGTGCTCCTGCATAAACGCTCCCCCTCTACTCTCTTACAGGAAACCAGGTCTCGACATGATCTAGATTAACACTGCAGGGGTCACTGAGGGAGGGGGTCCTCTGAGGCCTCTGGAAGATGTTCAGAAATATAGAAAATAATCACATAATGTCTTCATAGTCGAGGTTTGCATGCAGAAAATGCAGTTTGCAGGCTCTAATAAGGGCGTTTCTGTGTTAAATATAAACTTAAAGTGAATTATTGGGCCGTTTAAAGACTTCCAATGGACTTTTAACACTTCAAATGTTTCCCTATTTCTGAAAAATTAACTTAAAAAAGAACCTGGAGATTAATAGACTTTGTAAGTAATTGCAGCATATAGCTCATTTTTAAATGTGTTATTCTTATTACCTTCTGTGTACTCTTACTTGTCCCATCCTGTTATTCAATCTTCTCCCTGTAACCGGTAACCTGTATTAACCTACAGGAATTAGCAAAGGTTTATCTAATTGTATCTTAAATAAATATCTGATTACAATGGTAACGTACAAAGACACCAGTTCCCAAATAGTGCAAAACTGGTCTGTTTTTTAATGTAACATACATTTAAAATAGTCTAAAAAGTGTGTAACACCCTTGTTGAATTATTGTCTTAACCTGTAGTAACTCATGTATATATTTACATAAGTATTTACTATTTCCCCTAAAAACTGTAACATTTATTCATGTTTTGCATCAAGAATCAGATGATCTCACTCTTCTGGTGTTACAGTGAATCCTGTCACCTGTCAGATTCTGTGACCTTTACGTCGCTTTACGTCATCTCCATGGCAACATGAAACACGACAACCTGACTCGCGTTTTTTTCTACAGCAGTTTAGCTAGCATCTAGTTAGCATTTCACCATGTCCTGGTTCTGGGAACATTTTGACATTATATTGACCTTTGTCTGGCTTTACGCACTTATTAACCAAACTAGATTTCTAATTGTTTACTCTCTGTATCGTATAACAGTGATGAAGTACCGGTCTCTGGAGAGGAGCTAGTCCGTTAGCCTTTAGCTCTTTAGCTCTTTATCAATCAGAGCCTCATCAGGTGAGGAACACACACACACACACACACACACACACACACACACACACACACACACACACACACACACACACACACACACACACATCATTTTAATGAGAGTTCCTCAAATGAATGAGAAAATATTAAGAAAGTGTATTATTATTATTTTTATTATTGTTATGTATTATTTTTGATATATTAACTAATTGAGAATTTAGGGCATTATTTGTAGATTTTATTTCATTATCTTAACATTTTAAGTCTTTATTTTGATATTATTTTATTATTTCAACATGTTGTTATTTTTAGATATTAAGTCTTTATTTTCATTTACCATTTTTTTTTTACAGTGAATCCTGTCACCCGTCAGATTCTGTGACTTTTACGTCGCTTTACGTCATCTCCATGGCAACATCAAACACAACGACCTGACTCGTTTTTTTAGCTAGCATCTAGTTAGCATTTCACCCTGTTCTGGTCCTGGAGACGTTTAAACATTATATTTGACGTTCTCTTCGTTGACGCATTTTTTAGGTTAGTTTTCCATCTTATCTTTTATTGTCCGTCTGTTGGTAGTCTCTGGAGAGGAGCTAGTCCGTTAGCCTTTAGCTCTGTATCGGTCAGAGCCTCCATCAGGTGAGGAACACACCTCAAATTAAGGACACAATATTAAGAAAGTGTATTATTATTATTATTATTATTGTTTTGTATTATTTTGATATATCAACTAATTATTTTGAGAATTTAGGGCATTATTTGTAGATTTGATTTCATTATCTTAACATTTTAAGTCTTTATTTTTGATATTATTTTAACATGTTATTATTTTTAGATATTAAGTCTTTATTTTTTGGTATTCATTTACCATTTCTGGGGTAAGATTATATTTTGTATCAGCTCTTTTTCCATAATGTCCTGGTGAAAATGGGCTCCCAGGATTTAAAATAATGTTCATTTGTTAATGAATTGTGCCATCTCACGTCAGGTCGGGATAATAAACGAGCCCTGAATGAAAGGGCCAGCTGACCTTTAGCCTTTTAGCATGTTTCCTGGACAATAGTGATCTTATATAACCATCAATTACCCCTCAATGTGATTTGACATGAGCTGTAAAGCCATTTAGAGTCCTGCGCAGGGCTAATCTTCACCTGTCGTTATGGTTATGACTACTGAAGGTAATGTGGCATTTTAAAACATCTTTTCTAAGGAGTGTGTGTTTACCTGCCAGGTCTTTTTGTGTGTTTTCTCTGCAGCGTCTGCTGAACGCTCGGCTGCTTCTGAAAGGTTTCTTTCTGACAGGAGACACGATGGTGCGTCTCACCGTGGATCTCATCGCTAAATCTAGAAACCACTTCAGAAAGAAAAGAGGCCTTTCCTTCCCAGAGTACCTGAGGACGCTCACACACCTCCACTTCTTCAGCAAGAATATCGAGGACATAGTAAGAGCTTCAACTCTAGATTCTCTTCCTCAGAGGTGGGAAGTAGCTCAGTACCTCGGTGGAAGTCTTTAAAAAACACACTCAAAACACATTTGTACACTTTAGCCTTTTAGGAAGCAAACTCCTGCTCTGCTGCACTTTCTCAGTTTGAACCTGTCCTCTGATTGGGCATTTTCATTATCCTCCTTTTAATGCACCATTTCATCGTTGTACCTTTGATCTAAATGTATTTTTGATATGTCTATATGCTACTTTTAGTTTGTTTTGATGTCTTTTACTGGCAACTGTATTCTGTGTGATATCAATTATCTGTGAAATGTCTATGAACTGCACTTATTGTATGAAAGGTGCTATACAAATAAAGATTATTATTACTATTTACTCAAGTACTGTACTTAAGTACAATTTTGAGATACTTGTGCTTTACTTGAGTATTTCCATGTTATGCCACTTCATACTTTTACTCCTCTACAATTCAGAGGTAAATGGTGTATTTTACTCAAGAACGAGATCTGAGTACTTCTACTTTTACTACAAGATCTGAGTACTTCTACTTTTACTACGAGATCTGAGTACTTCTACTTTTACTACGAGATCTGAGTACTTCTACTTTTACTACAAGATCTGAGTACTTCTACTTTTACTACAAGATCTGAGTACTGCT